TGCGGTGCAGCGTATGCCAACCTTTAATGCTTCTGTTGTTGTTGGTTTTGTTGTTGTGTGTTTCTATCCATACAGAAAAACTAAAAACCACACTTCAACTCTCACTGAAAGCTTTAGAGCTTTAGCCATTAAACTATGAAAACAAGTAAAGACAATTTGTTATTGCCCAAGCTCAATATACGATTTTCTTTTCCCCAAAGGTGCTGGAATTATTACATGCCACAATGTAACTACAAGCAACACCTTTGTTATTTTTTTGAGCCCTTTCTTACCAAATAAGCAGCTCTAGCCAAAATTAACTGAGCTGAAGTTTGTGTTTGAAATATGTCCATTTGGTCATTTCTTGTTCTCAAAGGAAGTTCTATTCCATTCTTCACTGTAGTGATTTGAAGAATTTGTGTGTAAAGTTCTTTTTTACTTTCATGTTACAGTTAACTAGTTCTCAGTGCAGGTGCTAAACAACCTCTCGAGGAAGCTCCAGAAGAAAGTAAAATATATAAAAATCTATCCAAAGTCTGCAAATAAATTAAGAAAAGAAACTGTAAAGTGTCAAAAGATTTGTTGCATGAATACAAACCCTAAAATACAGTCTAAGAGGAGGACCAAAAGCAAGTCCCCTGGTAAGGACAAACCAAGCCAGTTTTAATGAAGGATCTCCACATAAGCGTTGCGCAAAGAACGGCATGGTTTTCCAGCCACGTATTTCAATTCTTACGTTATCAGTTGAATAAAGGCAACAAAACCCAGTTACTCAGAAAACCTTTCTAGCACAGAACATATTTCAAAGGCAGTTCAGCTCGCATTTCACACAGCTATAGTTCTCATGAGGGTTATTGCCTGTCAAAATTAATGGTGAAGCTTTTCAAGTCAGTATTGGACTTTCTGCACTTCCTGATGTTATAGACATGCTGCTATTGTATAGACTAGTTAGTTGTTGTTGTTTTTTAGACTATGAGTTGGTAAAAACTTAGAATGTTTAGTTTTGCAAATATTGCTCCTCCTGGCTTATACATTTTGCATAATGTGTTAAAAGCACAAGGAGTTGATAGTCTTGTACAGATGCAACTTGACAATGTATTGACTTTCTAAGTTAACGAAATAAAATTTAAAAGCGAGTCACATAAAGCAACAATCACTACTGCAATCACACATGTATGTCATAAGTCACTGCATTCCCTACCCCCACCCACCACACACATAACTTGCCCCACACATTCTCTCAGAAACACAAAATGAACTACGAGATTTACTAAATTACAGCCACAACAGCAGCTAACTGCAGCAGCCACAGGATTTCTTTCAAGTGAAGCACTGACCCTTTGCATTTAACACATTGAACACACTGAGCATTTTAGATTTTAGTTTCAGTCACTCAGGCTCAAGTTCAGTATAGGATGCTTTTGCAGGTTACACGAATGCCATCATCTGCAACAAGACAACATTCTCATTACTCGTTACAAAATTCACAACAATCCACACATCACCCCAGTGGTTTATTCTTTTTGGTGTTACTTTTTAAACTTCCACCCCACATCGGCAAGTTGCCAAAAAGGACAAAAAAAAAAGAAAAAAAAAAAAGGAAAAAAAACCCCACATTTCCTGCATACCTACAAAAAATCCTTGGCTTCTCCAGTTAGCAAAAATACAAACCATGGTATCCTCAGTGTTGGTTTGCGGGAGGGGGGAATCAGGATAGAAAACACAGTTTCTGTAAGTCTCTAAAGCACAACCCTGTTGTTCCTACTTCAAAGTTATGAGATTTACTGAATGAAGACTGGACAAGTCATTCATGCTTCTCTCCTGCGTTCAGAAAGGCACTGATAGATTACAGTGTTAAGTATTTATCTCCCAGTTCTTAAAGAACAAAGCCTAATGTGCAGAAAGCTGAAGTCTCTGAATAGCAGAAGTAGTTGCAGACACTGCGATGCTAAGAAGATAGTAATAGTGGTAGGGCTACAGTTACGAATGAAAATAACTGCAATTAAGATGCAAAAAAGCAGTGGTACTACTAAGACAAGCACATGCACATCCATTCTTGATTTGACAACACAATCTAGTCTAGTTCAAATAGCCAAGAATTTAACAGTTTTTTTGGGGAAAAAAAAAATCTTCAACAGGACAGCTGTGTCCTCATCTATAAAATAAGCAAGAAGAGAAAGATAAATACACATCTGAATCCATTAACTGAAGAGGAAACTCAAGTTGTTGTTTTAGAGCTACAGACCCTCAGGAAGGATAGTTTTCCATCTCATGTTACTTTCAAATCATCTGTTCTACTCTGCAGTTTTTATAGTTGAGTTCGAGAAAAAAGCTCCTCCTCACACGGATCAGCCCATTCGCTTCCACCTTCTGAAGCTGTGTCTTCAGAGCTGGAGCTATCACTGGAGTAGATCTTCTTCCTGAAGCCATTTGGTTTTGCCTCAGCATTTATATCATCTGCGCATCTTGCTTCATAAACAGAAGAAACCTAAGGATTTAAACTGACAGTGTTCATGGGGAACAATAACAAACACGCTTGCTTTGTTCTGAGCTGGGAAGTTACATAGATTTGTAGTTGTTCAAGAGAGATGCCACAGCTACAGGGCAAGTCCTCCTTTCCTGACTTAGCCCACTATGTAGGAAGGACTGCAGAACAGCAGGGAGAAGCGATGGGGCCTTAATTATTATTTTTTCCTATTCCTTCATTTTAGGATTTGCACAAAATAGCAAGAGAATCAAAAGTGAACTCAGTTAGAATACATCATTATCACAGGTCATGTTAGAAAATTACTGTAAAAGTTATCTCCAAAATTTGGTAGTATTAAATATCAAGAAAACACAGCACAAATCTGACTAAACTTCAAGCAAAACCAATATATTTTCAGCTGAATCAGTAAAGCTATAGCAAGCATGCTGCCGTGTAAACTTTCAGTGCTATCACCACTATAAAGTTCAAAAGCATATGAGTAAGTGCACATGTACACGAAGACTTCCCCTACGGCAAAAAATCAGGTTTTTGTTCATAAGCAGGACAGAATTCAGCATGCATTCATTATGTCTACGCCTTGAGTTACTGGTCCATTCTGCCTTCATAGTGCGCATCAGCCCACTCTACGCTTACTGAAATCAGAAGCTGAAGGAAAAAGGACTCATGTTTAACACACGCAACAAGCAAAAGCCAAGTGTTCCCAAACGAACCTGAGTCTGCTCAACTCCTGGAAGTACAGCTCTTTGTACAAAGGGCTGCACTCCCCACAGTACAACACTGAGGAGCTGTCAGAAGAACGCTCAAGACACAGAAGAGATTAAAACACACAGTAAGGAAAGAAAAGCTTTTCACAGGAATTTCACTTGAGGCCAGACTGAAAATTGGGATGCAAGGAAAGACGTGGCGGCACACCCTTATAAAATAAAGAAAAAACTTCTCCCTCAAACCAGTGACACACTTACCATATTAAAATCTAAGAGATGTTCATCATCATTGGATATCTCCTTTACATCCGCAAATTCTCCTACACCATTCTCTCCCTTGGCATTTGTGTAACACTCTTACATTGTGTTTGTGGGGATGTTTCAGAGGAAAAAGGAAGAAAAAATAGAATTGAGGAACACCGTTATTTACATTCAGCCAAAATGAAAGCCTATAGAGAAGTATTCTTCAAATTCACACTCGAAGCCATGTAAACTCTGTGCTGGTGGGGGATTTTATAGTTTGACTTCCTTAAAGACATAAGCATAATACCTTATATGGAAGCTTCATCAAATCTTACCTGGATAATCAGGTAATAAAAAGAAAAGAAGCTACTTAGTTAATGAAAATATTTAAAATAGTAAGGTAAAAAGAGGAAGAATTACTTTTTTACTATAAGTGGTTCAGTACATTCTTCAATTCTGGTACAGCACGGTGCTTTAGGTCGTTCCTGTTTATATACCCATACAAAACATACTGCAACAGCAGCCTGATCTTGACCAAAGCTCAAAAAAACAACGTTGACATGAATGGCTGTGGTTTCTACTTACCAAAGTAAACCTCCATATATAATATCAACATATATCGACACATATGGATCACGTGTATCATATCCATATATAAAAAATACCAATACAGAAAACTGGATACAGCTAAAGATTTGTGAAAGAATAACATTAGCTCTGAGGATAAAGCTTAGTTGTGTTAAACATGGTCTAAAAGAGGAAATCCTGGAACTATTCTACTTCACAGAAATTCTGCCACTGTATCAAGCAGGCTCTGGACTCCAGTGTTTGATACTGTATATTCTGTCTTCCTCTGCTGAAATATGGTGGTGAAACCCCCAGACACCTATGGGGGATCACCAGCAGGTGTCTGCAAAACGATGACACGATTCGCTCACAGGAATGCAAGGATTACTCTGTGTAAGATACGTACTGAAGGGTGTGAGACACCGCATTTGCTAGTACACCAATAATACTTCTGCAGTTACCACCATGAGGACAAAAAAAACCTTTACAAAAGGACAGTAAATATATCTATTTTGTAAATCACAGAATCACAGAATTATAGGGGTTGGAAGGGACCTCTGTGGGTCATCTAGTCCAACCCTCCTGCCGAAGCAGGGTCACCTACAGCAGGCTGCACAGGACCTTGTCCAGGCGGGTCTTGAATATCTCCAGAGAAGGAGACTCCACAACCTCCCTGGGCAGCCTGTTCCAGTGCTCCGTCACCCTCAGAGGGAAGAAATTCTTCCTCATGTTCAGACGGAACTTCCTGTGCTTCAGTTTGTGCCCATTGCCCCTTGTCCCGTACCTGGGCACCACTGAAAAGAGTCTGGCCCCATCCTCCTGACACCCACCCTTCAGATATTTGTAGGCATTTATAAGGTCTCCTCGCAGCCTTCTCTTCTTCAGGCTGAACAAGCCCAGCTCCCTCAACCTCTCCTCGTAGGAGAGATGTTCCAGTCCCCTCACCATTCTTGTAGCCCTCCGCTGGACTCTCTCAAGTAGCTCTTCATCTTTCTTGAACTGGGGAGCCCAGAACTGGACAGAGTACTCCAGATGAGTTTTTTTCTAATATGGGAGGTTCTGTGACCAGTCCAGGAGGCAAATCTAAGCCCTGTTAGCATCAATCTGTTCTCTTTCACTGTGCAAACATGTTTCTATAGTTGGGCATGAAGTAGGTTAAGATGTTCCTGAAAGTAATCCAAACTGTCCTAAACACCAAAGTAAGGGCATTTAGGCACTGAGAACACTGTTTAGTTGGTTGCGCTTCAAGGTGCACTCCAAAAATAGTTCAGTAATAATTGCTGACTAATCTACCTCCAGTTTATTAAGAAACCAAGTTTCTGATCAAACATTTCTTGCACTGAGCCTCTACCAACAGAAGGCATCAGATAGCCTGTCAATCTGGTATACCAGATGTTCTTACTTAGCTTCCTGCCTTCTCCCCAGAAAAGGTAAACTGGTATGCAGGCAAAAAAACACTGCCTGGATTCTGCCTGTCCACTGAAAACCTGGGCATGGGCCAGCTGGCAGATTCTACCAATTCTTGGGAGGCAACAAAGTGCTGGAAGCACACCTGCATCCGCTCGCGAGCTGCCTGCCTCCCACGGCTGGACTTACTCTCTGTGGGGGACAGAAAAACTCCCAGACTGTCACTGTGAAAGGAGCGGCCAAGAGGCAAATCTGCTTTCCAGCTGGAGAGAAATTCCACACGTTCACTAACAACTGGCAGATTATTATGCGAACCTATAGAAGGTGATTATCATATCCTCACGTTCTTATAAAATTAGCTACCTAATAAGTATGATTCAGGGTGAAACATGTTAAAAAATGTAATACAGTATTTTCAGAGATTAATATTCTATTTACTTAATGCCAGGCTCTGGAATTAAATAAATTTGCATAAACGTTAAGACTATTTTAAAAGAACTTTCATGTAAAAACTATTTAGAAGCATGATAAGAGATCTATTACAAATTAACTCAAGCATCCCAGTTCTCCCCCGGATAAGAGAATTTATTGTGGAGGTTTTCTGGGGTTTTTTTTCTAAAAACACAGATGGTAGTTTCAATTCATCTGCAACAACTCAAATCCGTAAGAATGAGCATTGTTCAAACAGGCGTAGCTTCTTACCTTCACACTGTGATGCAGAAAAAAGGGGAGAATAGAGCGCCTTTTCCCACCAGCACTGCTTTTCCTGGCTGCCACTCATTCTCTGCAGATTAGTATTCAATATAAGAAAGTGTTTAGACAGTAATCACACTTCATTATGCCATAAATCATATACTTACATGTAAGGGAGGAAACTCGTATTACAACCAATTTGCTAGGTCTTATCGGTCACACTGTTCAATTTCTAATGCTAACGGGAAGGGACTGTCAAACTACAGTAGAACATCCATTATCTGAACTCTTCTACTCAATACGAATTCCACGCAGGCGCTCATACTTTGCGGATACAGAGTTGTACAAATCCAGAACAGAAACATAAATTCCAGCCCTACGCTGTGTAATCTAAGTGCAAAACAAGAGAGCACAGAGCTACCCAAGAGATGAAAATACAATGAAACAACATTAGTCAACATGACAAATAGTTCAGCGTAAAACAAAACAGAAAAGAAAGCCAACAAAAAGCAGTAACATTTAGTGCTTAAAGTCTGGAAGGGTGAATTAGCAGTACCATTACCATCAATGGGGTAACGTAAATTAAACTAGAGAATTAATGTGTCAACATGAGGAAAAACTTATGATGATTAATAATTTGTCTTTATGCTAAAAATAACTTCAATCTACTGACTAAAAATGCCTAAACACTTCCTCTCCCCCATATTTTAATGCTAATTTAAATTTACCAGAGCCCTTTCCTTTTAAAATTAATGGCCATGGCTAAAATACCACAGGCTTGTCACAACAGACACGTCCCTAGTTTTATGACTGTATCTGTGGTAACCCCATTAACCGTCAAAAGATGATACCAGCTTTTAACATCCCTTATAGATATTAATAGAATGATTCAAAAGCAAACTATAGCGCAGCTAGCTACAAAAACATTAACAAATGAGCGTCAACACTGACTGAGTTTCTATCCAGCTTCCTCCTCTGCAAACCTGAGAATGTTTAAGCATGGAAAATCAACGTTTTGTTCCTCTTCTGTAGAACTACAAACCTATAGAACCTAAACTTACAAATGCTTATTACTTGATAGAGAAGTCCCTCTCAAACCAAATGAGCAGCTCAAGAGTGCTGTAATCTCACAAAATCCCACGAAATTCTGCCATAATGAGTATTGAAATTATCCATGCTGGTTTGCTCTCTTAACACCCAGGAACAGTTGTTTTGGAGTGACCCTCCAAAAGCTGAAACCCCAACTCCAGAAAAGGGAGTTCTTAGAAAGCTAAACCATAGTTTAAAAAAAAAAAAAAATAAAAAAAAAAAAAAAAAAAAAAAAAAAAAAAAAAAAAAAAAGAGGCAAGAAAAAAAAAAAAAGCTCAATGGTATTTGAAGCAGGACTCCATGAGAAATATGTGCATTTACAAATTAATTCAATCCTGGAAGCCTCGCTCTGCTGCTAACTACAGACAGAGGCACCACCGCTCCACAGACGCAACGCTGCATTAACATCACAGCGTCCCACCCGCGCTCGTACCTGCGCACGCGATACGCTGGGTGAACGCAGCGGGTTACAGGAAAGCCCAGCGTGGGCCAGGCAGGGCATCACAAGCTCCAGCGGCCTTGCCCCCTGGGCTCCGTCCCCAGCGCAGCCCAGGCACCGCACTGACCCTCGGGGAGCGACGTGTGCCGTTTCTAAACCGGCATTAAGGTCACACATGTAAAGCAAAAGGACGGACGTGCACACCTGCTATCCACACTAAAGCCATTCCGGGGTGTTGTTTGGGAGGTGATGGGGGACACGAGCTGACGTCTGTTTTATACATTCACTGAAGACAACCATTCTCTCCTACAGCTGCGTGAGGTTTACTACAATTGTACAGTCTGTCAGCATGGAAATTTCTGAAAATTAAGTAAGTACCCTTAATTAGCAAATAAGAAATACAGCTCCAGAACAGTCCCATGACTCTACCTTCCTTTTCTTTCCCTTTTAAAACTGTATTTTCAATTTATGTGCCACCTCCTCCTCTCACACATACTCACATGCACTTCCAGTACTTTATGAAAGTTTTAATAAATTTCCCACCCATCTAACAGCTATTATTCTCTATTGTACTAGCATTAGAAATTGCAAGTGGAAGTCTTTCCTCTCTGAAACTATTCATATTTATTTTACTTGAAGTACACCTCAAGGACAATCAGGCAAAACCAACCACGATGCTGTTGCCCTCCCAGTCTTGCTGCAGGTCTGACAGCAGACCGATGGGTTTCCTTTCTTGTTTTACAGCTAAACATACGGTTACTCAGGCTTCTCTTAGAGCTTCTGCTTGAGGATATGTAAACTCAGTTGAGGACTTCCACTTTCACCAGCACAAACACCATGGTAATGTTGTAGTTATGAAAGATTCTTCTCCTCCCAAATCCTGGTGTATTTCAGTCACAATTGTCTACGAATTTTGAGCAGATTTGGGTCAGAATTGTGCAGTTACACGCAAAATACTAAAACTTCACTTCTGCTTCTGTCCCCCTCTCATCTCTCCCCTACTGAGCGTTAAGCCAACAGCAGAATAAAAATCATTTTAATGTTTGCTATTGTTTGTATAAAGAGTTTGAAAGAGTAAAATAGTTTCAAAACTTTAAATAGCATTTGTGTGTTTTTCATTAGCATCTAGCTTACACCTGTTCCTTCTAACATCATTTTACGTCTTTTCTCAAATGACCTTCCTAAGCACTTCATACAACAGCAGGCTGTACACTTTGGTCTTTTATCCAAAATCTCAACTAAGACCTCTGGTATACAAAAGAACAACCGTTGCTTGCAAACATCAGTACAAATACTTTCTAAAGGAATAAAAGCAAGTATCAGGTTTTTTCAACTAAAAATTGTAGTGCTGCTTCAAAGATCAAATTACAGTGAAACAACTCCGTAACCTAGCTGGAGGAAAGTAGCTAACATGCAGGAGAGATTTTGTGAGCTTAAGCAGATAACGACCATTTCAAACAGCACACTTCATCTCCAGCATCACGAAGGAATAGCAATTTGGTGTTACGGATACAACTGAAAAAAAGGGAAACAAGCAGAGACGTGAAAGATTGTTTCCCACACCCTGAATGCCATTTCCTACAGCTGATGAGATTTTTCCTCACCTCTTCCACTCACACGCATATCTGAAGTAAAGCAGCCAAGGAAGATTACTGTTCTGCACAGTTTTACTGCATTGCTGCTTTTGTCACAAGACTGCTATGGACAGCAATACAGAATTCATTTGCTGATGCAGCTGCACTGCGAGAATGCAGCAGAACATCGTCTTGTATTGACCTGGGGAAAAGGAGCAGCTGCTTCGGTGAACACACTTCAGTCTGCGGAGCTGGGCCGAACACAACAAATGCCTGGGACAAGCATTTTACTCTTCTGCTTGTTTTGCTTGTGTAAACTGTTCCATACTCACTATAGCAAGTGGTATCCAACACCATGGTTTTCAGCTGTGACCCGTAGGCAGCCTGATAAACAGCACATTTGAGGGGCACTGCTGGTTTGCTGATGTAAGATAAAATTTAACTGTAGTTTCTGTATGACAGGATACTAAGCCAACCTTTAGGCATACCTTTGACAGGGGCATTGAGGCAGGTGAAGCAAAAGTGACTACCGAAGTTGGGAAAAACCAAGTATGGAATTATGAAGTATGGAATTACTGTCACATCTGCAATATGAGGTTTTATTGCGCAGATGGAAAAGCCAAAGAAGGCTTTGAAGAACAAGGGAAGTTCATGTTGATAAATTAAAAAAAAAACCACCAAAAAAACCCCACAAGCCCCAAAGCAATTATTTATATTTTGTTATATATATATATATAAAAAAAAATTTCTCCTCAGGTAAGAGCTTGATTGCTCATACAAGTAATTCATTAATAAATTACTTTCCTCTTGGCAGCAAACAAGAGTTTTATTTTGCAACCTCAAATAAATTTCCAGAGAGCGTTTATGAATAAGCAACATATTGTTTTTTCTCCACCAAGAACTGGTATAGGATGTGCTTAACAACTGAAATCTTATTTTATCAACAAGCTGCATAGGGGAAAATATTGGTATGATTTTTTTTTTTGCTGTTCCTTAACTAACAATTTTGTATGAGCTAGCAATCATTTTGGTTGGTTTCCTTGCTTCCATCACAAGTTTCTCCCTACAGTTACAGACTAAAGTCCACAGCAAGTTCAAGATTAGTCATTTGCTAGTTCGAAAAGTTACATGGGTCAAAACTTTTATTCTTCAAGCAAAATTTATGCAAAGCATCTTCTCAGAGCTGAGGTCTACAGTTTTAAGGACCATCTGCCTAAAGTCTTGGAAAAAAGGGCATATCCAGTATTTTATAAAAATTTTTCCAGCTACCCAGCTAAATAGTTATTACTTTTCATCTAAACTGATATGCCTTTCAGGATAGACTATTTGGGCTTTAACTGAAAACACCAGCATTGAATATTTCTACTCTTTCAGAACGCATGCTGACAAGGATCAAGGCAGTGACAAGAGTTTTGCAGAATCTGAACAGAATAAGCACTAAAGCCTCATCATTATCTGAAGTGTTATGGCTGACAGTTTCATAACTAGAGGAAAAGTGATATTAAGTCATATTAATCCGCAAGTACAAGTTTCCTTGAACCTGCTCTGCAACTCCTTACAATCAGAATACAAGAAACATGTAAATTATTTAGAAGTCAAAGCAGCAATGTACCCATTGAGTCCCATTCCAAAAGATCAGATCTTAATTTCAGTTCACCAGCTCCCCAGGGAAGATACATCTGGCTCAAGAAGCTAGTCACAAATGAACAAAGGGAGCAGAGTCTAGACTTTACATTCTTAAAAGCTACCTGGCAGTCACCTAATTCTCAAATTTCACTGCAAATATCTGTGTAAGGGACCCTATGAGATCATCCAGACTCTACTCTTGCACAAAGCCTGAATCAACTACAATGCACTATTCCTACATTCTAAATCTCTTCCAAGACAGAATTTCTGCTGCTTCCCTAAAAGTAATTGAGCCCTACAGCAAGCTCATCTTCTGGTGAGAATTCTTTTTCTTCAATTTTCCTTGCTGTGATTTAAGGCCACTTCCTTTGTGTTTACCAGAGCCTACGGGACAAGCATAGCTTTTTCCT